TCTCCTAGAACTGCGTAATGCCATTGTGAAATTAGAACTTCTTCTTCATACTCATCATTTGTAGGCTTTATTACTGATGTCGGTTGTTGAAATTGGTCAAATATAGGTTTTTCCAATAGGTCATTGGAACTTGATGTATGATTCCATTCCACTTAAAAATAAAAGCTCCTTTATCCTAATGTAATTGTGCTTGACACTTGGTAAGCCAATCATTGCCAGTAACTATGTAATAATCATTCGATTCTGTGATGTCGATATTCATTGGAATTTCTTCATTATCAATTTGAATTGGTATATTTGTTACCTGTCCTAATGGTCGAGAACGTCCACCTTGAATATTTATCATTGTAATTTAGGAAGGACCTTCTATTTTTCATCCTAATTGTTGTAAAAATAATCTAGATATCACACTTCCTGCTAATCCAGAATCTAAAATTAAGTATATTGGTTTTCCATCCACATGGGCATAATAATAAATAGCTTCAATAGCTTTCGAGGAGTTTGGATTTCCTCTGGTATACTCACCCTCTGGAGACATCGCTAATAGTTTAAATGAAGATGTGGTGGGTAAACAGGAGTAGACATCATATACATGGATTTTGGTGGTAAAGTTCTTATTGGTAACGTATACATATTTTGGTTACTAGGCATCATTGGAGTATGATAGGAAAGTGCGGCACGTTGACCTCCATTGGTTTCAAATCTATTTTTAGTTAGACATAAATTTTCCCAATGTCCGTGTTGTTTGCAGTGAGAACAGGGAGTTTTTGGTTGTGTGATGCAGTTCTGTGCGAAGTGCCCAATTTGTTTACAATTATGATACTTATCGTTATTACTGTGATTAGCTTTTGGTACACGACAATCTTTAGAAAGATGTCCGGTTCTTCCACAGTTATAACAGCTTCATCCATTACCGCCAGATATACTATTATTTGAGCGATCCCTCCAGTTATTATTTGTCTGATCATTGGTAGATTTAGGGCTGCAGTAGTATTAGACAATAGATATTTAAACTCTTTAATTAGCTTTTTGTTATTCTCGTCAATGAGTTGTTGCATATTGGCAGGTTATTTTTCTTCTTTGGATTCTTCACTTTGATTCAAGTAGACTTTGCTTAAAGAGTATCCAGATAGAGTAGTATCACGAGATAATACAGCCTTAACTGAACAGGCCCTGTCAACTACTTCCTTTAAATCACGTGAGGCAATAGCAGCAAGTGCAGTATGAAACTCCGGTCGTAGCCCTTGGAGGAATTGTTCAATCTTTTCGTCTTCTGAGGTGTTATACTTTAGGTCTAGTTTTAGATACAAAGATTCAACTTCTGCAGCATATTCTTCTACCGATTGTCCAAGTCTTTGTTTACATCGTTGAAGTGCAGATTGCTATTGCGTTCGTCTATGAGTAGTGTAATAATGTTTGAGAAAATGATAAACAAATGATCGGTGTTTATGTTGTCGATCGCTATCATTATTCCAATAGCGTAAATCCTTTTTAAATTTTGTTTTGTTAAATCAGGTAAGAGCTGATCCTTTCATGAAGGATGGTACTAGGGTTAATCTTCTTTTATCAGAAATACCATTAGCCTCATAAGCATAGTTGTATCGTTCCAGCCAGTTGCTAGGGTCTTAGTTGCCTCCCTTAAACGTAGGAAGGTCCACAAATCTAGCTTCTCGAGATCCTCCAAATCTAACATTTTTGAAAACAGTTTGTAAACCTTTCATCATTTAAAAGAAGTTTCGTTCTTTGTTGTCTTTAGCATTATTGGTATCAAAGGATCTTCGTTATAATTCTCAGAACCACCATCTTCAGAATCAGAGCTAGAGGAGAAGGGGAAGAACTATCATAGTGAGAAGAGTAATGATGACCTCATCGTTTACTACTTCTTTTCCTTTAGACTTTTTATCCTGTGAATGACTAGTCTTATGTTTTGATTTTGAGGTGTGTGAGAGACTAGTATCCTTTTGGTCAGAGGTTCCTTCCTCATCTGAGGATTCCTTGTAAGTCAGTTTTGGTGACTTTCCCATCCCTCTGTAAGAGCTAAAAGTTGTTTCGTCAAAGCTTAAAGTTCGGTTACCAGTATCTTTTCCACTAAGAGTGGTATTAGCAATTATGGTTTCCTCTGGTGGGTAAAGTCCTTGAAGAGAGAAAAGATTTTCTTCAACAGATTTAGAAGTGTCGCTACTTTCGAGAGTTGTTTTCTTTGAAGGTCTAGTCATTCTGAAAGGAGAAGAATTTTGACTTAGATTGAGGTAAGTAAGTAAATCACCTCAGAATTTCTTTTAGAAGAAATCAGTCTCAGCTTGAGCTTAAATACAATATGTAACTGCTCGCTCAAAGGTTGGTATCGGTGCGTTTCTATATCTTAAAATATTAAGGGTTTGTTTATAATATATTTCCCTTATGCCAGTTAATTCTACAGCAATCGCAGTTTGAAAAGCCTCTAAGCTTTTGCTAGTATACAGTAATGCTCCTAGAACCTTTTATGCCCACTCAAAGAAGTTAAGAAAGGATTACGGTATCTCCTTAGGTGGTGGATTACAAGTAATACAGGATGGGTCATCAGTTAAATTAAATTTACTAGTTGATTTTCTAAAATTACGCTCTTGCTTATTGTGTATAGCTGAATGGTTCCATTGGTATTTTATCAATTTTTTAAAGTTGTTCATAGAGTGTTTCTCATAGTATTACGTAAACAGGGAAAGAAGGTTCTGTCATCGTCGCCAAATGTTAACGTACAAACTTTCAGGTTGCAACTGTTAGACACAGTGTCAGAGGGTTGACTCTTTTATAGTTCACGTAATAATTCCAGTCAGTTTATGATAATCTTAGCTAATTTACTACCAATTTATAGGTTCAAATTAAGTTTATTAGACGCGAGTGACTTTAATCACGAGTTACGAGTTTTTACAGTTAATTGAAGAAAAGTTTCAGTTACAAAGTAAGAAATAAGAAATACTTTATTGAGATGAAAAGAAAATAATAAGATAATGATATACGAGAGAAATAAGAAAAGAAATAAGAAACAGAGGTATACAAGGTGAAGAGTAGCGTTGCGCTATCTTTTACAAAAGAGAGAGGTTCTATACAGCTGTCAGTTCTATCTTTCTAATAAATAAAAGAGGTTGTATTTATATCTATTCTATTACATATTTTGATATATCTAATATATTAACTATATTAATTATATTAACTATGTTAGATATATCTGATATTTTAGACATATTAGCTATATTAAACATGTTAAACATGTTAAATATATTTGACATTATCGACATTCGTACTTCGCCATACAATTATTGATCTGTGATCGTTAAGATCGACATCTGGTCACAATATCTATGGTAAATAATACAGATAAGGTAAATAAGTTCTAATATGAATTATTGCCTTAAGGTGAAAAAAAGTTAATAGCAGATTATTATTCAAAGATAAAGAGATGTAATGATATTATTAATATTTATAAAGATTATCTTAAAGATAAATTTATAGGAGGATTAATGCCAATAAATAAAACTTTTGCTGATATGTATATAAAAAAATTTTCTTCCAATAAAATGATAGAAATACTTATTTAATAGAAAAAAGAAATTAGCTTAGTATTATTAATAATAGTATTCTTAAATTATTAGTTATAGTTAGAATTTTATTTTAGTTACACCTTAATTTATGAATACAATCAATACTAGTCTGAAGCAGTGATCATTAATTGAAAATTTCTTTTGCTAAGTCAGAAGGATTCTTAAAATCAGGTGTAATCTTTCTAAGGACTTATTAAAGCATGATCATATAAATTTTTGCACATTAATTGAACTAATGCCTTATTACATTATCATAACTTTTCATGTAATTCAATAAGTGTTAATTAATAAATATCGCAAATATATAGTTAGTAAATTAATATACAAGTCTGGTCAAAATTTAATTATATATTTTTATTAGACGTTAATTTATCAGATAATACTATTTTATAACAGTTTAATTAATAATAAAAATTTAAGAAAAAGTCTATTTAATAAAATAATTAATTATTATAACTTTAATCATTAATAATATCTCCATAACCTTTTTAATATAAATTAAAATCTAATAACTATTTATAAATAAAATTTAAAACATAATTTTTAAAAAATATCAGAAAAATTAGAATTTGATTTTTATTTATAATAAAATGGACGCTTTGCAGTAGAAACTATTAAAAAAAATTTTTTCCTCCCTTACTATTGCAAAATGCTTAAAATAAAATTTTTAAAAAGATATTATTTTATTAATAGGATCTATTTATTAAATAATTACTAGGAAACGGCGTTGTGAGTCCTGAACGAATTATTGGACGAAAATCACGTGGCGGACAGAGAAACGCTCACATGACCAAATTTTAATCAATGCACAGAAATATTTAGTCCTTCGCTTCGCTCAGGACAATGAATGTTATAATAACTAATATAATATTTAAATAACATGGGGCATACTGCAACAAAACCAGACAAAGTGAACATTCTGTTATGTGATGTAAATGAGAGGCTGATTATGATGTAAATTGACCAGTGTGACTGATGATGGTTTGAAAAGTAATAATGGTGCCCATTCATAACTTATGGAATATCTAGATCAAGAAAAAATTACTTATGAAATTTATCAAGAAGAACGAAAAATAATAAACCATAAACGAACCTTAAACTCTACTTATGATGAACCAAGAAAAGAATAAATTCGCTTGTGAGAGTAAACATTTTTAAAATGATAAAGTCTGTTGGATAGATTTTTGTAAAAGCAGTTCGCGAAAGCTTTTTCGTAAAATACGATATTCGAACAAAACGTCATTAATGCGTAATCAACATGAATGAATTTCTGCGCATCAATTATCATTGGTCACATTCTGGGGAACAATAGTTACATTGTGAAAAGGTCTAGAAAGTTCCTAATAATACGTCATTGATTAAGCCACCGATCATATTAGATCGCGCAGCACATCTTCTTACAAACACTTCACTTCGTCAAACATGGACGCCGCTCACATGCAAAGCGAGTTGGATCGAGCTAACGATAAACTGGACAGGTTAGAGGCACTGAGGAAGGGTGCAGTGGAAAGCTACCAAGGGGAGATGGACGAGTTGGCGGGAGAGAAGAGTTATTGGATGGAAGAAAGAAAAAAGTTGGGTGATGCTTTGCTTGCAGCAAGCATTCAACCAGGTAACGACTTTGTGACTCGGGCGTTGGGGACATAGAGTAGTGTGTACATAGGGTAGAGTAGACGTACGGTTTTAATAGAGCAGCGGCGAGAGAATAGTTCGAATGTTGTTGTTGTTGCATGCATTATATATTTTGATCTACACATATTAGGGTCATAGAGTGGTATCACGCTTATTGAGTCATTCATTGTTGAGACAGTTTTCGTTTCTATCACATTTTTTATTTCAGCTATTGATTTATCGACTAATACCCTCTTCATTACAGCATTAATAAGCCAAGATCAGTTTCTGTCGGAAATTCTACCATCTATACACTATATTGAACAATTAAGGAATACAACACACAAAAGTTTTAATGAACCCAAAAAAATATCTTCATGGATCGATTATTTCACAAAAGTTAATAATTTTGACTTTGAAAAGGAAGCAAAATACAATAAGCCTGTTTTCGTAAACGCGGATAATGTGGTTTGCGAAAATAATGTTCAGAACGCTTTAGAAACAAATGTTTTATTTAATCTCAACGTTGTCTTGAAAAACGACGGTATTGTGTTCAGGTCAGACATGGACGGTCGGGTTTACCAGACTTTGTTGCAAAAAAAGAAAATACTAACATTCTTGTAATCGAAGTCAAGAAAAAGAATGTTTTGCCTATTGATAGGGGTTCGTCTGTGGAATTTTTCCAAAATCATTCGAAAGGGCAATGTGTCATCTCACAAGCATTTACCTATATGGTCGAGAATAACCTTTTATATGGAATAATTACAACGTACGATCACAATTGGTTTCTTCAGAGGGAAGGAGATAATCACGATCAAATATAGATTTCAGAGACTCTATCTTTTGACAATAATAATCCGACGGTGTTAAAAGCGTATGCTTATCTAGCCCTACGGGCGAAACACAATCATTATCTTCCGCATCCTAACCTTATATCTATACCAAACACTATGTCTCAGCCCAGATATCTCACTCGTTCAGTTAATAGAGGTCAAAACCAACAACCTCCAGGGAAGTCACAATCATATTCTTTAATGACACAACAATCATCATCGGGCAGCCAATTTCGAAATTTTCAACAAAGCGATTTTAGCAATAAGACTTATCTAGGATATGGAAGATGTGGGAAAACGTTCCGATGTGATTTTCAGGGTTATGATCTAGCCTTAAAAGTTACTGATTTATCGAAGAAAAAAGGTCTTCTACCTGAATTGATGCAGGAGCTGGAGGTCTATCGCATTCTCAAGGACATCCAGGAAATATGTATACCAAAATTGGTATGCTATGGTTATCTATTGGGTACACCATACTTTGCTATAGGGACAACTTTTGTTGGTAAATCGTTGGAGAAGTTTGAGACTATTACCAGAATGCAAGAGCAAAAGGCTTGTAAAGCATTGGATGAAATCCATAAACGCGGTGTGCTTCATAACGATATTAGAAAAGAAAATATCATTCTTTGTGATGATGGGAAGAGAATATTCCTTATTGATTTTGGAATGGCAACTTTCAATACTGATAGAGAAAAACAACTTAAAGAAAAAATTGAGATGAAATACTGTTTAAGTGATATGATTAGATGATGATCTTATACTTGTCTAATTCCATGAAGAAATAAATTTAGAGTAGAATATGCAAGCTTATTGTTTGTTTTACACAATACAGTAGCGGTCATAAGTATCCGACCGCCCGAGATCGTCCAAAATTATTATATAACTACCCCTTAAATTTTCCA